CCAATCTCCTCTCGCTAGCCAAGGCGCATCATCCCCTCCCACAGGTGCCAGATCTGCTCCTGGCAGAGGGAGGAGCTCTGCTATTCCATGAGGTATACAAGCTCAAGCTAACAGCTTATCTCGTGGACACTTAGCATTCTCAGACAGAATCACCGCTGTGCTTCTCAATGCCAGGAAAGATTATACACGACGTTCATATAGTGGGAAATGGACTCGTTTCTTGGTCTCCATACAGCCCTCTGACGTCTCACCGGCTTCTGTCAGTATTGACCATGTCTTAGACTTTCTGCTCTCGCTGGCAGAGAAGGGGCTCTCACACTCCTCACTCAGAGTGTATTTGTCAGCTATTTCGGCATACCATCCGGGCTTCGATGGTTTTTCCGTTTTGTCTCACCCGGGCCTCCTCCACTTGTATCCACTGATCTGTTCACCAGTACCCTTGTGGGATTTGCCGCTAGTGCTCCGCCATCTCATGGGGCAGCCTTTTGAGCCCATGGCGACTTGCAAGCTCGATCGGCCACTATAGAGTTGCTTGGCACTTGCCTTCTTCGTGGGAGGAGGTCAAAGCCCAATTCAGCTTCTTCCGAAGCTGGATTACGCCAACCTCACACTCCCTCTAGGGCGCTGCTGCCTGCTTGTCCCCCCCCCTCGCTGGGGAGTGATGCGTTGGGCTGTGTATTGCCCAAACTGTCAAAAGTGGCCGTCGCTCGCTTCGCACGATCGCGAAACGCTTCAGTCCTCCATCTTAGCCAGACCGGAAGCCCCCACCAGTTCTCTTCTGACCACCGCGCTGTTTTCTGCCGGTTGGTGAAAAAGCATTTTTCCTCTCACAAGGGATTGTTGAAATTGTACTTTTTTCGCTTACATCCTTTATTTTATTTTGTTCCTTAGAGATATTTTAAAAGGGGGGGGACTTTTCGTTGTGGGTTGCCACTGCCTCAGGCGGCTTCCCGCCTCCCCCCCAGGTAAAAATTATTTCACCTCATCAAAGGACTTGCCAGAGCCGCGAGGCTTCGAGTAGCGCTCTGGGAATCGGCATTGACCCCCGTGCCTGTGGGTAATATGTCGGCTGAGACTCCTTCGATCTCCCAACCAACAACGACCATGTCGACATTGGGAGGCACCTCGGCACCGAATCCCCCACACCATGCAAAGTCAGCATTGGATGGGGAACAGTCTTTTAAGCGCTTGGCGTTGAACGAGGCCTCATCCGCCTCTATGCCGGCCAGAAAGAAGAAAAAAGAGAAGCACGAGAAAGCTAAGTCTTCTCTCACCGGCACTATCCGTAAGTCTCAGAATCTGAGCAGCGACAATGTGCAAACGGCATCTGCATTACCCCCTCTTCAGCAGGTGCAACCTGACATCGTTGATACTCTGGTACCGGAGCTGCCTACTATTGAGTTACTGGACTCACCCATCCGGCACGTGAACCCCCTGGTATTGAAGGCTTCTGTCGACTCCAGACCAATTGCCGTCTCGACGTTTGAGGTCGACTAAATGGTCCTGCGTCGGCCTCGTAGAGATCATTCCCAGTCAATGATTTCCTGGGAAAGTGATCGGTCGGCATCGAGCTCTCGACACCATCGATCCCAATCGCCCAGAAGCGAGGAGTATCGATATCGACCTGAGGAGTGCCCAGAATACCGTCATTCCAGGCCCATGATCTCGTACTCGCCTAGACAGGAATTGAGACCACACTCCCCGACCTACTTTGACCCACCTGTATCGTGGGACCGTAGGGGCCACATGCCTTGTTGGTTCACATCTTATCCAATGTCAGCATTGATGCCATGGCTGACGCCTAGGCCACAGTTGGACTGGGATCATGGCTCACGTCGTTCACGTTCTCCCCACCGTAAATCCAAGCCTTCCGCGTCGCAATCCAAAGCCCCAGAGGAACCCTGTCATCCACCCTCTCCACTCCATTCCACCCCTGCTTTACCACCGAAAGTCGCTCCGATACCGAATACCCCTGCAGCACCAGTATCACCTTCCAGATCCTTTGTCTCTGATACCAGCACCAAAGATTCAGAGTGCCCAAATCGCCAGGTGATCCTTCACCAAGACCTACAGTGTCGGACGATCTCCCAATCTCTCCTTCGGAGAATCTTTCTTTTTACAGAGATTTGGTCAAGAGGATGGTACATTCCTTGGGCACTCCGGCCCTAAAAGACCCCTGGTTGAGACTATTAAACTGTGCTACCTATTGGCTAAACGCCCGTTGCCCTCGCCTGTCCGAGCGCACTCTACAAGATCCATGGCTACGTCTACAGCGTTCTTGAAGGGTGCTTCCCTGTCAGCGATCTGTGGGGCTGCGACATGGTCTACTCCGAACACCTTCATCAAGCACTATGCTGTTGATGTTCGTGAACGCCACAGAGTGGACCTGGGTCGTCTAGTCCTTTTGTCGGCAGAGCATTGATTTTCCAACAGCTCCCACCTCCAGATGAGCCACTGCTTTTCAGTCTCCTATGGGTGTGATGCACAGAGACCACAAAGAAGATAAACAGGTTGCTTACCTTTAACTGGTGATCTTCGAGTGGTCATCTGTGCAGTCACACCACCCACCCGTCCTTCCCCACTGCTATCACTTTAGTACTTCTCTCTGGTTATTGACATGACAGCGATCAGAAGGGACTTGCGGGATGTCCGCTCCCCTCCTCCTTGGGCATGCACAGTGAGGTTCCCGTGCATGCCTGGGAGGGAGGTGCGAAAATCCCTTTGTGAGCTTTGCATACCACCGATTCGGATCAGCGCAGGCGCATAATCCCATGGGTGTGACTGCACAGATGACCACTCGAAGATCACCAGTTACAGGTAAGCAACCTGGGGTTTTTTTGCTCCTGATGTCAGTTACATGTTTCCAAAGGCATTTACAACCTGTTGGTTGGATCCAGACTAAATTTACCAATGGCAGAATGGAACTTCTCTGCCTCCCACTGCATCCCACTGGTCTCCATGAAATGCTACTCCTGAGGGAGTGGGGACATAGAGGACTGACATGGTAGGTCTGCAATAGGAAGGAGGAATCAATGGTAGTTGTCAATTTAGTTTGGATCCGACCCACTATCTGTAAACAACAACCACCACAAAACACTAAATAACACAAACAGCCAGTGTTTAGAACAACCAAGAATGCAAAAGCAGTATGGGACTGAGGCATTAGCAGAGAGAAAGATTAAACTAGTCTCCACCTGGTTCTTAAAGCTAGGAACAAGGTGTAAGGCTACCAAAAGCCACCATGGGCCCCTGAATACAGGTTCCATTTGCCCACCGTGACTTATTTCCTAAATTAAAATAATGTATTAATTTATGATTTACACCATGCAGATTGCAGTAAGGTATGGTGCAATAAATAAACGAATGAATGAGCTAAAAGATTCCCCATCCAAGAGACCAAACCAGAATACATTAAATATAGATGAAGACTCCTATTACCTGGGAATAAACCCCATTGAATGAAGTAGTCAAAAAGTACTCAAGTGAAAAAAAATCTTTTAAAATGTTTCTACTCAAAGCAAAAAAGCAAGTTCACAACAATGTAAAGATGCTTAATGGGGAAGGAAAATTGGGGGAGATGTGAAAAGTCAGCTGAATCTTCCATGGAGAAGATTCAGAGCCCCCCAGATTTTCCGTAAAATTTCCCCAGAGATTGCCTCCACAGTGGTAATCCCCCCCGCTGCCACAGGAGGCCTCAATTGTTTAAATTGGCACTAGAATATCATTATTTGGATATAATGTTATGACAGGTATATGTTCCAGTTTCTCTGAATTCCCAGCTTTCATTTAAATGATGTCTCCATCCACTTCCTTAGAGGAAAGGTATATCTCTGCAATGGAAAGAGTTAGAGGCTTACCTTTAAAAAAAAAAGAAAGAAAGCTGGGAATTCAGAGAACCCCATACACATGGGCCCCTGGAATTTTATCCCTCCTTTTTGCCCCTCGATGGCCCTGACTAGGTGGGAAGGGGTATCCACAGCAGGGGCCTCTGTTGTAGATCTTAACTGACCAGCTGCTACATGGAGAAGCAGGCAGTCCTTGAAATCCCCTGACCCACAATCCATTTTAGACTTTGCCCCTCTGACCGCTATCCATTTTAGGCTTTGCCCCCCTCCCCTGGGGGCATCCCTGTGCCAAGTTCTCCCCAGATGATGTGGAAGTCGGTGTCATCATATTGTCCAGTGGGATGTTTCCTTTCCCGTAGCAGCAGTTACTGCAGAGTCTGCAAAAATAGGTTTGTGTCATTCAAGCATTATTACTGCATGTGGTGGGAGACTGAGATACCCTTTTCAGTGTCCCCTTGTATGGCTGGTAATGTAGAGCTCTGCCCTTGGCAATAACAGAAAGGTCTATTGTTCTTCTGACAATTAAAATGGTGTGACCACTGCAGGGTCAGGTAGCAGTCCTCTGTGACCTCATAACCATGGTTCTGTGTCTCAGCACATATGATGTGGGGAAACACAACAGAATAAGAAGACAATGCTGGATCAGGCCAGTGGACCATCAAGTTCAACATCCTGTTTCACACAGTGGCCATCCAGTTGCCCTGGATGGCCAACAAAGCAGGCATAGATAGAGACCAAGGCCTTTCCCTGGTGTTGCTTCATAGCATTGGAATTCAGAGGTTTGCTGCTTGTAAATATGGAGGTCCCCTTTAGTCACCACTGATGTACTGACCCTTCATGAATATTCCCAATCTCCTTTTAAAATTATCTATGATTGTAGCAATCACTGCATCTTCTGTTAGCAAATTCCACAGCTTAATTACTTACTGATTAAGTAAAGTATTTCCTTTTATCTGTCCTATACCTAATGCTCCTTAGCTTCATTGTGTGTCCCTAGCGTTATGGGAGAGGGAGAAAAAGCTCTCCACCCCATTAAAAACCTCTGCCATGTGTCCCCTTAGTCATCTTTTTTCTAACCTGGAAAACTTCAGACTCTTCAGCTTTTCCTCATAGAAAAGGTACTCCAACCCTTTCACCATTGTCTTTTACATCTAGACTCTGATCCAAAACCTGACATCATTTGGCCATGTGCTGCTCCAATTGCATTGTCATCTGTCACCCCTTGCTCTTCTCACCTGGCGTTTGTTTGTGAAGATGGGACCATTACTGTTTGGGACAAATCTCTAGGTGAGCTAACACATTATTAACCAGCTTTAATGAGGTTGGCCATTACCTCATAGGAACATAGAAATAACCCATGTTGGATCAATGATGCATTCTTCTCTAAAGCCGCATCTACTCTACAGAATGAGGTGGTAAAAATAGGTGGTACTGCATCAGAGTGCAGGTGGGGAATCACATTTTTAAAGACTTCCCTGTGTAGGAAAAACCGCCCGCAAGTAGAAAACTAGCACACTGGGGGGCAGGCTGGACTGGAATCTTTCTCCCTGAGGTGCTTGGGGGTTGTTTTGTTTTAAATAACTTGCAGGCAACTTTTTATATGGGGATGACATTATGCTTTAGTCATAGTAATGAATCCATAGGGGTAACAGTGTTAGTCTGTTGCAGCAAAAGTTATGTAGGAGTCCAATGGGAGCTTCAAGAACAATAAGATCTTATTCCAGTATTGGCTTTCATGAACTAGAGCCCACTTCTGCAGATGCTGTCTGAATTTAGCATCAGTATAAATTCATTCTGTGACAAAAGGAGGGCCATGAAAACTTATGCTGGAATTAAAGTATTGCTAGGCTTATTTCAATCACTGATATTCCTTCTCTGTGCCATAATGTAAATGATACCAGATAGCAGATGAACAGCTAGTAAAAACTGCAGAAGCAGTTCATTTTCTATTGCTGTCCCAATTCATTGGCAGGCATTCATGCTGGCCAGCCATCTCTCAGTCCGAGCTGTGAGTTTTGACAAAGGTAGCCCAGAGTCAATGTTCCTAAACTAGCTCTGTTACATGCAATGATGAGAGCAAGGCTAAACAGCTCTAATTCCCAGGAAAGTGTTTTTAGGCTTGCAGCTTATGATGGGTTTCATTTAAATCAGTAGTTCTTCAGATTGTGCTCCAAGGAACCTGGGCTTTCCCCAGAGATTTATCAGGGATTACTTAATGAGAACATGAGTAATGGCAGACCATGGCTTGTTCTTCCCTACCAGTCCCCCCCCTCCCCCGTAACAAACAGCCTTATGGAGCTGTTGTGTCTGTCAGACTGAAGGCGGGGTTCTAGCGTAGAAGGATTCTTTGAGGGCAGAGGATAAAAATCATTGCCATGGCAATATTTGTCCAATGGACTTTAAAAGTGTAACAGAATTGTTAAATTACTTCACGCCAGCCAAACTAGCAGGATCTGGCCTTAGCATCTTGTTTAGGAGGGCTGTGCAGTCATTTCTGTCCTCACCTTGCCCTGCTGGAACTTTTCCCCAGGGTTCCCCTTGTTTGTGACCATGCTTCCAGACAAATATGTTGTCCGCAGTATCCAGTTTATGCCATGTTGCCTATTGCCCAGGAATAAGGCTCTTTCTTCCAGCAAGTATCCTGCTTGTACCAAAGTGCAGCTTCTGGTGTTGTGTGCAGATGGGTCTCTTCACCTGATGACCTCAAGGGCCAAGGAGTTCAGCACCAAGATACTGGTATACAAGTAAGGCATGTCTGAAGAAAGTGTTTTAAAGGGGTGGGGGTCCTCATGCAGGGGAACTCTGAAGTTCAGGCTCTGTGCTTGGATGAAAGCACAGATATAAATAATCATGCAAGGCTAGCAGTAATTTTGTGTTATGCTGTTGGTGACATGAAAGAAGAGCTGGTGAAACTGGTGTCTTTGCCTGAAAGAACACAAGGGATAGATATCTACAATGCTGTGATGGAAGCTTTTTTGTCACAAGACATAAGACCAGAAAAAATTATTTCAATTACTAGTGATGGGGCACCTTCTATGATGGGGGCAACATCTGGTTTCATACAGATCTTTGTTAAAGAAACAAAACATAAAGTCATTCAGTTCCATTGTATTATACATCAAGAAGCTCTTTGTGCCAGGGAAAGCAGCAAAAAAATTGATGATGTCCTCACAGATGTCACAAAAATGGTGAATAACATCATGGCTCGTGCTCTGAATTGTCGACAGTTTAAAGCACTTCTTGAGGAGGTTCAGGCACAGTATAATTGTTTACTTATGTACAATAATTCCAATCCCAAAGAAGGGCAATGCCAAGGAATCTTCAAGCTATCACACAGTTGCACTCATTTAACATGCTACCAAGGTCAAGATGCTACTCAAGATCCTGCAAGTTGTTGTCTATATGCAGCTGATTGGCTGGTTTTAATGGGGAGCAAATCTCTGAATTCCTCCTTGTTCTTTTCATTTTTTCTTTCCCATAATTGCCACTGTGGACTATTTCACTAAGGCTTCCAAGTCCTTTTTTAATCTTCTCCAGTTAATTATGATAGTTTGGGGTGTCTTCTAGCTCTTTGTGAACTGGGTTTTTCTACATGATTTTTTTTTCTGCCTTAGACACCCACACCGCACAACATATATTAAATGGTTTGTGCTGATTAAGTCTGAAAAGCAATTCCTCCGGACAATTAAATCACTCAACTTAAATACCAGACTTTTTCAAGTTTTGTTTCTGGCAGTTGAACAGACTAAAAGCAGCTGTTAAAATAAAATAAGCAGGAGCCTCTCCTACAAATTGTTACTCTGTGGCCATCTTAACCAGATGTCCTCAACACTGTGGCTTCCTTGATGGAGTTAACCCATCTCATGTTGGGTCTTCCTCTTTTCCTACTGCCTTCAGTTTTTCTCTTAGCACTGTAGTCTTTTCCAGTGAGTCTTACCTTCTCCATGCATGTGCAGCTCCAAAATGGGGCAAATAATTTTGTTTCCTGGAGCTGTTTTGGCTTGGGAAGATGGGTCAAGGGGCAAGCAGAGGTCCCTCCTCCCCCACAGGGTGGTCTCGAGCTCAGTACTTTAAAACACAGTTCCCAGAGTGGCTGTGTGGACTGGACACAAATAGTTCAAAACTGTAATGTGTAGTTTGGTCCTCAGAGTGCTGTCTCTCTCCTTTGTCTGTTCTGACACTGCAGATTGCCCTTCCCTTCACACATGCACACCCCAATCCCACACATCAGCTAGAGAGAGGGGGTCCCTGAACAATAAAAAATGAGGCCACAAGGAAAGGACAGGAAATGAGTTTTGATATAGGAATGAAATTCCCTCTCAGGCAATGTTACAAGCAATGTTGCAAATCTGGGTTTCTTTTATAGACCGGAGGATCCGAGGCAGGCCATCAGTGCCACAGCAACTGTTCCATCCTTAACCAACGCAGTGAGTGCTTCAGATTGTTTCCTTGGATATCTGGTATCTCTCCTCAATACTGTGAAAAGATGTCTTGGGTTGCAAGGAGTTATTCATTGGATGAAATCGAAACAGAGCAAGTCAAGTCATGTAGGCAGGACTCCCCATACTTGTGGGTAGCATGGATGCTCCTGAGAGGTCTAGCACCTGGAAACGTGGGGAAGTACAGATACATTAAATATGAGAATAGGAGCCAAAAGATGTTGTTAGAGTCTAAAAACATGCAATCTGGATGTTGTGGATCATGGTGTCTTGGTCAAATGCTGAGCTGAAGTGGCCAGTTTCAGAACTGTTACACTCTAGTTAGTAGAACCTTCATGTTCAGAGGCAGGGCTGGTGGCAACATACCCTAAGGCAGGGCAGCTGCCAGGGCCAGGCTTTCTGGTGGAGCACACTGCCACTGACACACACACACACACACACCTCCCCTGCTGCCTGTCTGTACCCATGCTCCCAACTGCCCAGAGTTATCGAGGAAGGGTGTATGGGTGGTGCATAGTCATCGAGGAAAGGTGTGTGGGTGGTGCATAGTTGTAGCACTCCCAGCTGCATACGCTGGGCAGTTCTGTCAGGGAGAAGTTGTGCAGGTGCTGCAGGCAACTGGACATGAGCCATGGGAGGGCTTGCAAGTGGGAAAAGAATGCACAGGCAGGTGAGGGGGATGCAAGTATGAGGGTGGAAAGGAGGCCATGGGCACTGTCTGTCCAGAGCTCTCCAAAACCTGGAACTGGCCCTGTTCAGAGGCAGTATAGCTCTGAATACTAGCAACTTGAGGGAAGGGGTAACTGTAGGAGGGAGGCTCTTTCCTTCATACACTACTTGTAGGCTTTTCCAGGGCATCTTGTTGGCTGATGCGACTAGATGGACATTTGGTCTGATCCAGCAGGGCTGCTCTTCCTCTCTTAAACCTCATCTTTATTCCAGTCTGGACTGCCCGCTATACATCTATGCCACCAGACCCAATCCTGATCCCACCAGAGACCTTGTAAGAACCATTTTTAGCAGGAAGGGCCCATAGGAGTTATAATCATTTGTTGCGGAGGTTGATGCATGAGTCTCCTTTTGCCGTTTCAGGTGCTGACTTGCTCCTGGGGTGGCACAGTCAGTCTGATGGACACTGCAACAGAAGCGACTGTGTGCTACTTCATCACCCCACCTCCTTACAGAGTAACAACGCCCTGGCATCCTGTTTTTGCCGTGGATACTGATGGCAGATATTTGTTTCTCCAAGGTTGGACATAATTCACTGAGCAAAAGGGAATAGGCAGAGTGGAAAAGAAACATCTTGAAACACCTCTCCAACTTCTCTGTCTGAGGATCGTTGTTTGTTCTTCCTCTCTCTTTCCACATCCAAAGATATTGCCAGATCTAATTGCCTGCGCCCTTTCTGTTCTGCTCTTTCTGTTGAAACCAGAACCATATGCTGCTCATTGTTGGTCTAGACTCTTGTAAACTCCTCCATGAAACCTCTCTAATTTTGGTTTGTGAGAACCAGGAATAACATGACCAACACTCAGGGGGGACCCCTCCATCATTCCTTCCCAGTGGCGTTCTGTTTCCTGTTTTTGCCCAGTTCCTTTTAGTGCATGGCACCTCCAAGAAGAAGAGAAGAGATTGAATTTATGCCCCCCCAGTACCCAAAGGAGAGCTGCTTTCATTCCCACTCCCTTCCCTGCCCCTCCCCACAACAGACACCCTGTGAGGTAGGTGGGGCTGAGAGAGCTCTTTCAAGAACTGCCCTTGAGAGAACAGCTCTGAAAGAACTTATGACTGACCCAAGGTTACACCAGCAGCTGCATGTGGAGAAGTGGGGAATCAAACCTGGTTCTCCCAGATTAGAGTCTGCGCTCCTAACCACTACACCAAAGTAAACCACTAATTGGCTAGCAGAGATTTTCCAGGAACAACACACTAAAAACCTGGCCTTACATGGAATCTCCACAGGGGCTTCTCCAGATTGCCACATTTGCTTATGGATAGAGGAGAGTTCCCTGTTTTGAGACCAATATTTTTCAAGACTGTCTCCTCCAGCACTATCCAAGGTGTTTTCCACATTGGAATGAGCTTGTGTGGTTTTCCCATTACTGCTGCAGCTGCCAATTCAGCACAACAGCAAAGGGGTTTCCACATGGCAGGTTTCCCTGTCGTATTCCTCCACTGTGGTCATCCCCTTACCTCCACACCATGAGCAGGCTTTTTATTTCCTTTTAAAATAAACAGCTGACATATCACTATGTTATACAATCTGTCAGATTCTGTGATTTCCCAGCTTTCATTTGCTGCATTTGTTTTAGTGCTGCTGCTGGTGGTGGTGGTAACAGCTGCCATGGGTGGGGGGGGGTGTGGAAGGGGAAATGGTGCTGATATCTAGGAAGATCTGGATTTTCCTGTACACATCCCAAAACATTACAGGAAAGCAGGATTTGGGGGAAACCATAGGGAAGCCTGGAAGGTGCATGGAAGCACCACAGTGCTGTAGGGAACAGAGGGAAAAGCCCTGTTTAGCAATGGCATTCAGGGTGAGGCAAACAAATGGTGTGTAATTGACTCAAATCCTAGTTATCTCTAAGTGGGGTATAGATATGATTTCTCTCTCTTTCCCCCAGGAGGGACAGTAGGAGCTTTGCAGGTGGCGATTTAGCTTGGGATAAACAGTGCAGGATGGGGGAAGGGTTGAATGTGTCCTCCCTAATCCAATTCAACCCCCCCCCCCCGGCTGATTTTCAATAAAGATTGAAGGGGGGCTATGGCTCAGTAGTACAGCATCTGCTTTGTGTGCAGAAAGTCCCAGGTTCGAATCCCAACATAGCTCAGTGATAGATCATCTGATTGGCATTGGTGAAGATTCTAGGCTCAATCCCTTGCATCTCCAGCTATAAGGATCAGGTGGTAAATGATGAGAAAGGCCTCTACCTGAGATCCTGGAGAGCTGCTGCCAGTCTAAGTAGGCAGTACTGCTGCCAGTCTAAGTAGGCAGTACTGACCTTAATGGACTAATGGTCTGGTTCTTGTGTTTTTGTGACATCTCCAGTTAAAGGCCTTTTCCTGAAACCCCAGAACACCAGTCAGAGTAGACAAGACTGACCTTGATGTATCAAAGGTCGGATTCAAGGTAAGAAAGCATCATGGTTTTTTGTTCTGCTTTCAGGGTATGAGCAATCTGGAAGCATGAAAGCGGAAACTGGAAGTAACCGAAGCACCATCTTTCTGTTTGACATCCCATCTCGTTCAGAGACTTCCTTGCAGGATGATGAGTATCCACCTGACTCTTTAGAGAACATGCCTTGGGACAGGCGATGTGATGTTTTCCTAAACAACAGGTAAACTTCTTGAACGAGAGGAGTTCCAGGGTTTGCAGTACCCTTCTGATCAGTGATAGAGAATATCATCTGGAAACATCTTGGGAGAGCGACCACACTGTCTCTAGAGCATCTGGTTGGCCACTGTGTGGAACAGAGACCAGATGGAGCATCTGGTTGGCCACTGTGTGGAACAGAGACCAGATGGACCAGTGGTCTGATCCAGCAGAGCTGCTCATGTTCACTGCTCTTACCTTGAGTAGATCTGCAGCAGCATCACAATCTTTCAGCATTAAAATAAATCCTTTCATTGCCACAGCACCAAGGACATAAGGAAAACATAGGGTCAGATTCACAAAAATTATAGAATCATCGAAACTGAGTTGGTAGGGGCCACTCAGACCACCTAGTCCAACCCCCTGCTCAGTGCAAGATCAGCCTAGAGCATCCCTGACAAGTGTTTGTCCAGCTGCTGCTTAAAGACTGCCAGTGAGGGGGAGCTCACCACCTCTCTAGGTAGCTGATTCCATTGTTTGTTTCCCCCCCACTTTATTTTTATTTTAAATTATAAACTAAACACAACATAAACATATTCCATTGTTACTTATACAGATAATCTTCCATTCCTTCACTTCCCATTCTAGTCATATAACATTTGGGCTCTCTTTCATTTTTGTAGCCATGCATACATTTTTGCCCAATATTTTCCAAATTCCTTTTCATTTTTATCATGCATATTAAATGTTAGTTTTTCCATTTCAGCCACTTCAAATATTTTACAAATAAAGTCCTCTTTTGTTGGTATCTTTTCAATTTTCCAGTATTTCTCGAATAAAATTGTTGCAGCAGTTAATAAATGCATGATTAAATATATTTCTGATTTTTTATAGATTTCAGGCAATAAACTTAATAAAAATATTTCTGGCTTAAATTGTACTCGTAATTCCATTATTTCTTCCACAACCCCATTTATTATATTCCAATACTTTTTTGCTTTCTTGCATACCCACCATGTATGATAACAAGTACCTATATTTTGTTTGCACTTCCAACAATTTTTAGATATGTTTTTATTAAATTTATTCAATCTGCCCGGGGTAATATGCCACCTATAGAACTTCTTTATTATGTTTTCTTTATAATTACTTGTTTTGACATATTTTGTATTCCTTGACCACACCTTAGCCCATTCTTCTAAAGTTATATTACATCCAATATTTTGTGCCCAGGCTATCATTGGTGGTTTCACCCATTCTTGCCTTTTATATTCAAGTAAAAAATTATATACTTTTCCAATCGTTATTTATCTTTCTTATTTATCCATATTTCATCTAAACCATAATATTTGTTGTAGAAGCCTATTTTTATCTTTTGTCCATCTTGAATTTAATTGTGCTCTCTCCCACCAAGTTAGATTAGTATTATGTTTTTTCATCTCCTCTTCCGTTATTAAATTCCCATTATTATCCAGTAAATCCAGATATCTCCATTTAGGATATTTTACATATAGTGTTGGCTTAACAAAGACTTCTGTTGGGGAAACACATTGAGGTATTTTCTCGTGTACTTTTGACTTCTTTCCAAATTGTGTATAAAGCCCCCCTTATCCAATGTTGCATACATTGGCTGGATGATGACACATTTTGATACCATAAATATTTATGCCATCCCATCATCAGGTCATGGCCTTCCAAAATAAGTAATCTGTTATTTTCTAAAATAATCCACTCCTTGATCCAGCTCATTACTGCCGCCTTATAATATAACTAGAAATAATGCCCGTTGCAGAAATAAATACAACGGGATCTAGAAAGAGGCTCTGGGAGAGTGCTCTGGCTTTGGGCAAACAGTGTCAGTTTCCTGTGGCGACCTCAGCAGGGTTTAATGACAGAGTCCACTGTTTTCTCCAGAGGGACTGATCTCTGCTACCTGAAGAGCATTTGTATGTTTGAGTTATCTGTAGCCCTCACCTGGAGAGTGGTAACCATTGTTACCCATTCTCCTCTATGAGGTATGTTATGCAACTGAAAATTCCAACTGCCTTGTGGGGGGGGGAGTTTGAGGTGTGGAATGGAGTGAAGTCCAATCAGCTTCCATATGCAAAAGACCAGGTTGTCGCAGCAGTTGTGGTGTGGGCGGGACCCGGGCTTTGCCTTCTGATTGGTGGCGATATATGCTGAGGAGCAGTGCCATCAGCCATACACTAAGGGAGTGCATTTTAGAATTAGAACTTTGGCACCCACTATTCAATTATATATAAGGAGAGATGTCCAATCTGGAAATATCAGACCCCCCTCTTTCTTTAATATCTTGCAGATATTTTAATTTTATCCTCGGCCTTTTTCCTTGCCATATCAATTTCCTAATCAGCTTATCTAAATCTCTAAAAGAAATTGGGTTCTTTATTACTGGAATAGTTTGAAAAAGAAATATTATACGTGGCAACACATTCATTTTGATCGTGGCAATTCTGCCTAATAAGGGGATTTGTAGGTCTTTTCATCTCTCTAGATCAGAATTTTACTATAGTTATCTTTTAAAAGCATGCTGCACCTTTTCGTAGCATATATACCTAAATATTTGACTTTCTAACAGATTTCGTAACCTGAGACTTCCTTGATGTAATCCGATACTTTGACATCACAATTTTTTGTTAGTGTTTTGCTTTTACTTCTGTTAATTTTAAGGCCGGCTACCTTATTATATTCCTGTAATGTATCTAATAAAAAGCCTATCGATGTTTGTGGTTCTTCCATGATATACACCATATCATCAGTGAATGCCAAAACTTTAAACTCCTCCCTCCTTATTCGTAATCCTTTGATTTGTTTATTCTCTCTAATCCTATCTAACAGCGATTCCAAAGCAAATATAAATAAAAGAGGGGATAGCGGACAACCCTGTCTCACCCCTTTACTAATTTCAATATTTTTGTTACTTCACCGGTTGTTAATATTTTGGCCTGTTGCTTATCATATATTGATTTAACCATCATTAGAAAAGTTTCTCCACATTCATATATTTTCAATTTTTCTAATAAAAATCCCCAATTAATGTTGTCGAATGCTTTCTCAGCGTCGATAAAGAGCATGGCCATACTCTTTTCTATATACAATTCATAATATTCTAACACATCTGATATTATTCTTACATTATCCTTTATCCGCCTCTTGGGTAGGAAGCCTGCTTGGTCTTTAAAAATTATGTCAGTCTTCTGGTGTGTTTGCTGCTCCTCCCAATTTGGTTTCATCTGCAAATTTAATGAGTAGCCCCTCCAAACCCTCATTCAGATCATTCATAAAAATATTGAAAAGTACCAGGCCCAGAACCAAGCCCTGTGGCACCCCACTGGACACCTCCCTCCATTCAGATGGAATGCTGTTGACAACTGCTCTTTGAGTGCGGTTCTTCAACCAGTTCCCTATCCACCTAACTGTCCTAGAGTCCAGTCCACAGTCCTCTAGTTTACTCATCAGAACATCATGGGGAACCTGTCAGAAGCTTTACTGAAATCCAGGTAAACAACATGAACAGCATTCCATCAATCCAGTAAGCTCATCACTTGATCCAAGAAAAAAATGAGGTTGGCCTGGCAGGACCTGTTGGGGACAAATCCATGCTGACTTCCCCGGATCACCAAGTTGTCCTTTAGATGCTCACAGATTGATCCTTATCATTATTACCTGTGTTACTCTGCACACCCTAGAAGTCCTAGGACCTGAGATCAACAAATGTTCTATCTCACGTGGTATTGTCTGCTTGACTGTCAGTGGCTCTCCAGCATTTCCAGTCAAGGTTTGACTAATCACAATCCTGGAAGAGAACTCATACTTGGAAACTTTTGCCTGCCAAACATGTTTTTTTTTTTTAATTATTTTCCAAAAACTACAAGAAATAGGAAGGGGAAAACTATAAACTATGGGAGAAAGTAAAGATAACTACTAAAACCCCAAGAGATGGTGGTCATATAATGCTTACATTAACATATCTTAGATTAAAAAGAAAGAGATAATTGGTTACATTAAAAGTGATCATTAACTCTGCTTAAATGTTTCAAGTCCAGATATTCTGATTTATTAAAGAACATTACAGATACATGATTTTATATTAGTAAAGGAAAAAACAAGCTTCAGAGAGATTTAGCATCTCATTTTTTGTTTCTTTTCCCCCTCAAACGATATCCTTGCTTGGGGGCTGCCGCCCCATGTTCTGAGTCTTCTCCAGTGAGTGTTTCATCATCACTTCCCTTATCACTCTCCTCGTCATCTTCCCCTGATGGTCCACATTGCTGCCGCAAGAACTCCCTGGCTTTCATAACAGTCAATTTTTCCCTTTTGTCTTTAAATTTGAAAAGCATGCCTTCAGGTATAATCCATTTGTAGGGGATGCTATTCTTTTGTAAAAACAAAGCCAAGTCTCTGTATTTTTTCCTTTTCTTCCTTATTTCAAATGGAATATCTTTCAAAACTCTTATCTGCTTGCCGTCAATTTTAAAGGTAGTTCCATTTATTCCCTTTAATATCTGATCCCTCACTTGTCTTCTGGAGAATCTAACCACCACCTCACCGGGCAGATTATTTTTCTTTATGTACTCTGAATATGACCTATAGATCACATCCATCTCGAAAATCTGCTTTTAAATCTGCAACCAGTCCCAAAGCATCAATCATGATCTGTTTGAGATTTTCCCCTTTAGACTCAGGAACTCCCTGGAATCTCAGAATAAAACTTGCCTTTTCCATTTGGAGCTGTAAAAGCTGGGCTTCATCCGTGTTTCTCTTTTTTTCCATCTCCTGCATTTGTTTTTTAAGCTTTTTGGTGTTGGCATCCACTTCTTTGAGATTCTCAGCTGTTTGCTGTTTTTTTAATATTCTAACTTAGTTGGTGTTTCTGTGCAGCAAAATTTTTGTTTGCTTCAGCAGGGGTCGCAAAGCATCTGTAAGCATCTTAGAGAAGTCTATGGTTACATCCGGTCACATGACCGCACTCGCTGGGCTGGCACTTCCTGAAGAAGGCTTAGT